TCGTCCCGCTGATCTACGCGGAAGTGGTTTATTTCGACGTGAGTGCATGGAAAAAAGATTAGTGAGTGTCTAAGAAATTGTTTTTGTGGCTCGTCGTCATGAGACTCATGACCATAGATAATAAATACATGGATAGGACGCCTCAAATTCATTACGTGTTAGTTTTGCGCATGATAGAAAATAGAAATAACTAGGTATGACAGCAACTAACCGATGGCAGTGAACAGCGCAGTCATGGAACTAATATCAAAACATTATTCTTTCCATTGAAATATGACGTCAGCTGCCAGTGAAGATGTTTCAATCACTTTGCACGGCATTATTCAAATTTAACACATCCCTTACAGTGACCTATTCAACACCTACTGGCTACTATAGTCTATAGTCTATACAGCATTTTTATTTTTGTTTAATTAATATTTGGAAATAAAACTGTATTGCAAATTAATATTTACACGTTCACTTATCATTATATAACATGTCTCTAATTGTATAATATTTAAGTATGAATATACTATAGGTATGCTTGAAAGTTAAAAGTTATTTGCTTATTTATATAATAATTATTGTACTCTGTAATTGTCAAAACATTAGTAAGTAATTTAATGTATTAGTTATTTTATTAAGATAATAACTAATATACACATTAGTATTGTTTTGTAATATATAAATTACTATTTGCCTAAAATTTGTCTATTTATTTTATTTATTTTTTTTCTATTTATTTTAAGTCTTTTACTTAAATATTAAAATATAATTTCCTTAATAAATTCCAATATGCATATCACTCAGAATGAAGAACTCTATATACTTTACATGCTTAGATCATATACAATGGATAGAGCCATACGAACTATTTGTGAAGCCAACATCATTGTAGGACCTCGGTGATATGCGCATGCGCGTGGTCTCTTATCATTAATGTTTGCACAGAGACGCAGAGAGCAGAGTCGCACTCACGATTAGTTCTTTATAATCGTGGTCGCACTGCAGACGCGCAGTTAAGATCACGATTTAAGATATACCTTAAATATACCTTAGTATATCTTAAATCGTGGTTAAGATAAACAGATTGATGTATTATGATAAGCAGTCGCGCATGCGCAGATGTCACAGGTCCTACAGTAATGTTGGCATCAACTCATTTTATACGCGTAGTATGCTATGACTCACGGCCATATATATCTATATGGCCGTGCTATGACTCCATCCATTGTATATGATCTAAGTTTACATGTGTAGCATAACAATCTTAAATTATTTTAGATTTTGTATTTTGGTAAACATGATTATGTTAATATTACCTATACTGAAATTAAAATATCTAAAAATAAATAGGCTTAAAAAATATTATTAATATTAATAGTGTATATTACAGTAGAAATAAGTGATAGCAACATTTTTTTAACAGTGGTAGTATACTGTGTAATACTTTTATGGAATAAAAGTTATATTTCATAATACATGTTATATCTATATTATAAAAGTATACGTCTTATACTACGTACGAACATATATTATGTCTTGGTGTTCAGTGATGGGTTGTTCAAGTGGAAGTAAGCGTAAGGAATTAAGAAATGTTGACCGTAGCCACATTCGTTTTCATCGCTTCCCACATGATACACAATATCAAAAAAAATGGCTTGATGCAACTGGTAATCCTAATTTAAAAGTAAAAAATGGTATGTTTTAAAGCAAACTTTTGATGTATACTTAAATAAATACTCGAGCATTTGTATTTTCTTTAATAATTTATATGGTTTCTTTAAAGTTAGTTTTTCTTACAGCTTATATAATATGTTCTTTACATTTCGATGATGATGCATATTGTAAACCATTAATAGAAACTCTACTGAACTTTTCCCCAAGGCATAAGAGAAAATTGAAACTGGATGCTATTCCAACACTTAATTGTCACCTTTCTAATTTATTAATGAATCTAGAGGATAATTCTGATAATATTTTAAATCAATCTATTAGGTCAGTATAAAAGCAGTTAGTTGTGTAAATATATACATTATTTCAAAAAACCATTAGATTTTACATATTATAATCTGTTATTAAAGCAGTTATGTTACTGACATGAAAACTGGAAAAATTGTTGTATCTCCAGAAGAATGTGTAACAGTACATAATTCATCTTGTAGTGCACAAACGTCACAAACAGATGATTATTATCAAAATGAGATTGACAGGTATTTAACTAATGACATTATTAATAAAACATATATAATATAAACAAAAAATTGTAACCGAACTACAAATATTACAAAACGTATATTAATTACTTAAAAAAACAATATATTTTATAAAACATAATTTATAATAAAGTATACAAACAAATGATCAATATCAAAATGAGGTTGACAGGTATTTAACTAATGACATTATTAATAAAACATATATAATATAAACAAAAAGTTGTCACCCAACTGAAAATATTACAAAACGTATATTAATTACTTCAAAAAACAATATATTTTATACAATATAATTTGTTATTAAAGCAGTTACGTTACTGACATGGAAACTGAAGAAATTATTGTATCTCTAGATGAATGTGTAACAGTACATAATTCATCTTGTAGTGCACAAACGTCACAAACAGATAATTATTATCAAAATGAGATTGACAGGTATTTAATTAATAACATTAATTATAAAACATATTATATTAAAAACAAATTGTAACTGAATTGCATAGATTACAAAAATTATTGAAAGAAGCACAGAGTAAAATTAAGGAATTAGAGGATAAATGTAATAAATTTAAAAATATTAACAGTTACCAACAACAGCAAATAATTAACTTTAAAAAAGATAAAAATATGGAAGAACAGCTTTTTAAGATAAAATTTCAACAAAAACTTTCTGGGATCTTTACATCAACTCAAATAAATTTGATTTTAAATAAAAAAAAAGCATATAAATGGTCTGATGAAGATATATCATCTGCAATTAGCTTAAGAAGCATATCCCCTAAAGGGTATGGATATTTAAGGGAAAAAAAGAAATATCCTTTACCAGGTATCTATGTTTAAATTAACTTAAATAAATATACAAACATACTTTACAATTTCAATTATTATTTAATATTTTTCTCAGCTTTATCGACATTGAGATCATAATGGGCTTGTAAATTTTCAATAGACCAAGGTATATTGCACCAAGTTTTGTCACTGTTAAAAGCTAAAGGTTAGTAATATAGTATACAAGTATACAATTAAAATTAATAACTTAAAAACATATTTTATAATGTGTTATAGGAGAGTCTATGTCTCGTAATGACAAAATAACTGTGATCTCTTTTGATGAGACGTATATATCACGCAAAATATGGTATGATAAAGGCAAAGATCAGATTATTGGACCAGATAATGTGTACAAGTAGTGATGGCAAGAGGTTAGTCAGCAGTTCAGCAAAAATGTTAATATTAATTTTTAATATAGTATGTGATACATATTTCTCTCATGTTTTATATGACTTTTAAGTAACTGGAAGCAACCATTGTTTTATGACTTTGACACACCTATGACTACTAGCTGTCTCAGCTGAGATACTCTTTAAAATTATTGCTTGTATTCATGAACTGGGATTTGAAGTAGTTGCTCTTGTCAGCGACATGGGTCCAACTAATATTGGCTTATGGAAGTCATTAAACATAACACCATCATCACCTTCATTCATAAATCCAGTTACACTTAAAAACATACATGTCTTTGCTGATGTCCCTCACCTATTAAAATTGATTAGAAATCATTTTATTGATAGAGGATTTATATTTTCAAATAATACATATATTGGAAGGAAAATTATTGAAGAATATTTAGGTATAACAAAAAACTCAGATTTTAAATTGGCATATAAAATTACAGAGAAACATCTAAATGTAATGGGCACACAGAGACAAAACGTAAAATTGGCTGCCCAATTATTTTCCAATACAATGAGTACAGCTATTAAATACTGTGGAGAAAAGAACATTATCAAAAATATTGGGAACAGGTAATAAAATATTTTTTTGAAAAATTAGTATGGAATCATAAACACACGTAATAAATTATTTTAGGCAGTGGATCTTTTTAAAACGATTAATGATTGGTTCGATTTATAAACAAATAAGGAGTAATAATATATATTATATATGGGTAATAATATATATTATATATAGGTAACAGTATATATTATATATATAGGTAATAATATATAATAAAATATGTTAAAGAACAACACACTGGTTTTAATAAATAATTAATTTATTGTTTACAATTTTAAATCATACATTTAAATAATTATATACTACATAAATATTTTATTCAAAAAATGTATTTTTGAAAATATACAATCATAATTTATTGTGACAAAAATGAATATCAATAACAAAAAAAATAACAATTCAAATATTTTAAACAAAAATTCAAATTTTGGTGGGATTTCGGCATGCATTTGACCTACTCAAAATGGCGGATAGTAACTTCACATCATATCACTACTTATATCACTATACTCTTTTCAGAATAAGAACGCACCAGATTTACGTAACAAAACCGGTTTTGTCTGTGGCCGCCTGGTTCCTTCTTATTCTGAAAAGAGTATAGCAACCTAGTTTATTATCTATATCTGTGTTCCTCATAAAGTTTATGACTTTTTCATTATGATAAAGCCATAAAATGTCTTGTCTCTCCGACCATGATAACAGTTGTATTCTTATCACTGCTCGTATGTACTTTTCTCGGAATCTACAACTGTCTTGTGTCTTGTGTCAATTATTATGAAAACTATATTCATTATTCAATAATTATTATTATAATGTTGGTCGCTACTCGCTAATCACCACAAATAAAATAATTTCAACACAGTTGTCAATTTTATGTCACTCCGAATCGACTACTAATTAGTTAATAAAAATTTATCTCGTTCTCAATTATTATTTGTCCATGTTACTGTGATATTTTTGAGTTACAGTTTCGGAAAATAGGCTGTGTTTCAATAATATCTTATGGAGGTAGGTATTGCATAATACATATTATATTGTTTTTACGATGTTATTTTGGATCTGAAAATTTAATAGGACAAATTACCATCCAAGGAAACTCATGTGTGGACTTTGAGCGATTTTATTGAACGTCGCAAAGAATGGGATCAAGGAGATGAAGCACGATTAGCAGAATACCTTCAACAACTGTCTAATGTAAGTGTAACTACTAACTCGTAATAGTATTATATGTATTATTGTTTCATATTAATTGTGTAATAGTTGTACCCATGTATAGTCACTGTTCTCATTTTTTTTTTTTTATTTGTCAAACTAACTTACAAATAATAGTAAATTATATTCGTTCATAACACTTCATAAAACAATTTAACATTTATCTGTTTAAGTATTGTACCAATTTTATAATAGGTATTAGTAATGTTTTATACTTAAACCAGTTAAACTTAATAATATTATTTTTAATTGATAATAATTTAAATATTTTTAGAAAATAACCCAAGGTGCTAAAAATACATTAAATGAATTGGACGATTTAGTGGCCAGCATAGATGACACTGCCGTTCAAATAGCAAACATCAATAATGAATTTCAGTTATTAGCAGACAAACAGTTTATAGAAAATAAAGTTCAAGAAGAAGACGAGACAGTGCAAACTAAAGTTGAAGTAAATATAATAAATATATTAACATTTATTTTTCTAAGAAAATAGTTGGATATCTGTTTGTTATTGCCCTGTCATAAATAAAATAAACAATAAAAAAAAAAAAATATAGGTATTGTACTTATTTAAAATTTTCAAATATTTCAATATTAAATATTATTTTAGGTATATACAAAATTTAAATTTATAATATTTATTATAGTTATAAATTTTAAAACAAAATTATAAAAAAAAAAAACATTAAATTTATTAATTAGACTAGAACTCAGAAATAACTTAATACAACTATATGACGGGGCGATAGCAAAGAAGTACCAATAATTGAAATAACTCTTATAATCGTTATGTTTAATATCTTTTTTTAGAAGCCAGTTATACGAGAAATCAATGAAGCTGATACATTCGCAAATAATATAAAAGAAGCACTTAAAAACAGCTTTAAAGCTATTGATACTCACTTTGAGAAAATTACTGTTGTAGTTAGTGATTCTGATGACGATGACGATGAACTTAAGTTAGAACTTTTTAAAATCATTAATTGGTGTTAGGCTATAATATTTTTATTTATGTTTTTGTGATAGACACGAAGAAACTGTTTTAAAGCCAAGGATATTTTACAAAAAATTAAATCTTCCTTCACTAAGTAGTAATACACTATCTGAGATTGTTGTAGATAATGCCATGTTTTCAGATTCAGATTCTGATGTTGAACAACCTACCAATACATTTAAGGATCAGGTAAAATTATTTCTTCAAATTAATTTATTCCATATTTATAAAATTAGTCTACTTCGTTCACCAAGATAATATTAGTGTGCACAAAACAAAAATAGTTGTTTCGACTGCAGCACCATAATATGTTATAAGTAATAACCAATCAACAAATTTGGTGGGGAATAGAGTGGAATGGGTAAAAGATAAGAGGACGACCTGCGGTTGTATGTGCGAAGTGATCAGATTATATTTGCTCGGTGAGAGGGTAACACTATTCACTAATACACTATAGATACCTAACTAGGTAATGATAAAAAATACATTTTTGATAGATACCATCTAGATCTAGATCTATAGCGATTAATCAGTTCTAATGAATAATGATTAATGAACTTGGAAAAAAATCCACAAAATATTATATTACGAAGCACTAAATTAGTACAATGAAATTTAAAACATTTTTATAAAAATATAGCATTATTAATCTATAGAAAATATTTTTCCATTTTGTGAAGTGTATGCTGTGCATAAACAGCATACGCATATGCTACGCCACTGATCTAGATTTAAATTATTTATTTAGTCACTTTTAATAATTAAAAAAAAATTGCAATTTTGTGAGTACTGTTTAAAACACTATGTTATAAATTATTTTCCATTTGTTTAGGAATCGTTATCTAGCAATGATGCATCCGAAGAAGACATCTATTCTATTAGTGAATCAAAGAAGACATATTATGAACCTAATCCTGAATCAGTAGCTACCAATAATATTATTTTTGAATCAGAAAAACCTGTACCTAAAAATATACCTACATATGCACATTATGATGAAGGTAATATTTTACAAATATTGATATTATAATTCATGTATTAGTATTTAATTGTCTTGTCTTAAAACAAAATGTATGTTTGGGAAAAATATTGTTGATTATTTGGTACAACATACCAAAATATTTTCACTTAAGTTAATAGTATGTAGTTTGGTGTTTGTGACTAAAATTATATTAAAGCCATTTTTCTATGAATTTCAGTTGATGTTGTTTTAAAAAAAAATAATTACCAATTTTGTATTTTGATTTAATTTAATTTTTTTAAATTATTTTCTGGAATTAACTATTTTAATTTAATTAAATAATTTGTTTTATTACTGGAAATAAATAAAATTGACCCGTAAAGTCATAAAATAGTTATTGAAGTTATTCAATTCAGTTCTATACATTCAACGCTTTTTTCAATTTTTAACAGCTATAATACTAGGACGTTAATCTGATTTTGTCAGTGTTTTATGTATTAACATTATTAGACCCTTGTCAAACTAATTTTCCAAATTGACTGTTTATGTTGAATAATTTATAATAAGTAATAATGGTTTAAATCGGATTAGAACTAACTATTATACACTTTTAAATTATGTAATGATGAGTATATATTGTATAATTTTATTTGTTTACATTAAACTTTTTTAATCATATGCTTATACCAAACTGTTTTAATAGATGATTTGCTTAGTCCACCACCTTTAATTAATGATGATGACAATGACAATTTAGAGAATGAATATAATATATTTGGTAATGGTAATAATATGTTTGGTGAAAAAAACTTATGGGATGATATTGATGATGATGACAATGATGATTTTTCAAATGAACCACCTTTACCTATATACTCAGACAAACCACCTCAGCAAGAAACTAAATCTAATACTCAAGAAAAGGTTGAACAACCAAGTATACAACAAACACTGAATGACGAATTGCGGAAACGATTCCAAAAAGGTTATTTATTTTATATAGCTGTATTGATGCATTAATAATTGATTATCTGTTAATTAATTTTAAATTACTTTTATGTTTAGATAGTACACCTTCTTCGTCAGATAATGTAAATGTCATATCATCCAAAATAAAAGTAATTTTAGTTTTATTGTAATTAGTGATCTTAAATGTATTAATAATTTGTTTGTTTATTAATTATTAGTTACCTAAAGGAGCTGTTAATATTCTTGGTGGAACTGATATAAAATCATACATTTCCAGTCCTCCTCAAAACATAAAGTAATGATAATTAAATTAAAAATATCTACATTTTTAGTGCTCGAATTGGGTGGGAGGGGGACTGTGCTCCACTACTTTTTTCTTTGCGTAACAATTTTTTTTTACTTGGACTGTGGGACGGTATAAACTAATGCCTGAAATAATTTTTATTAAAATGTGGAGTAGATCTACTAAATTAATTTTACATTATTTACTATAAAAAATATTTATTTTACTATATTTTCTGAAGCTTACTATCTTTTTGACTCACAATCTGCTGTTTTTGTACCAACATTTTCATGACCTATGTAACTTTGTAGGCCATGAAAGAAATAATACTTAAGCAGCTAGTTTTGCGTAATTACCGTGCATAAGTGTGCAAAATATTTCAAAAGAAGTTTCAATAAACATTTGTTTAAGTTTGGGATGACAATTAAGATCAATTAATTGATGTTCTATATCAGTATATACCTTCAGGTCCGTGTTGAATAATTTTGCACTTGGAATGCAGTTTATGAATTGTTGAATTGGGCTCCTCTACTTACTTAATAATTCTCAATTCGAGCACTGGTTAAATTTAATCATATTTTGTTTACGATAAAACATGACATATTTATTTAATAATGTCATAATCTTGTGACACAAATTATGAGTTCACAAATATAAAATAAATTTAGTTAGTTAGATTAAGTATTGTAACATAGTATATTAAATTAATGTGTGCCCAGTAGTTAATTATGCTAATATTTTATAAAATTAATATTTACAGACCATCAACAATACCTGAGATGAGTAAAAAAGTGGCGGAAACAACCCAGAATGTTACTGTTGAAGATATTAAAGAAGATTTTAATATTACAAATAAACTTGTTGACAATTCCAATCCAAATCCAGTTACTGTTGCACGTAAAGATTTAATAAAAGAAACTAAACCTATAAAAAAACGATCACTATTTGATCAGGAATCAGATGATGATGATTTGTTTACCAATAAAAATGCAACAGTTTTTCCAGCTATAAAACCAGAAATTTTGGAATCTAAAAAAAGTTTAACTAAAGATAAAAAATCATCAAGAAATATATTTTCCGAATCAGATTCAGATGAAGAATTTATGGATTCAAAATTGAAAACAAAAGAATTAGCTTCTCATTCTCTTAATGATAATAATTCTACAAAACCTTTAGACTCTTCATCTGATGATGATTTATTTAGTATTAAATCTATTAATAAGATAATACCAAAAGAAAGATCTGTAAAAAGTCCTTCGCCAATTCTTGTTGAAGTATTAAATAAATCAAATGAAATACAACATGTACCAAAACCTCCCCTACAAGAAAATAAACTTACAGGTAAATTAAATAAGGAAGTTATTGATGAATTGAAAAAGTATTCAGCAAATTCTAGTGTGGCTGATATTAAAGTTACTGAAAAAGAATCATTACCAAATAAAAACACATTAAACAGCAATATTAGGAAATTACCAAACAATGACAATATTATGGTACAAAGTAATCAAAAGCCTTCAATTTCAAAACAGCCAAAAAAGTTAAGCAATTTTTTTTCATCAGATGAAGATGATTTTGATGATGATACTTTGTTTAATGTTAATATACCGAATAAAAATAGCATTAATAGAGATCAACCAATTTCTAATGCAAAAGAGTTAGGCCAAAACAAAAATTATGAGCTTCGTGGATCGAAAGTAAACTTGTTTGATTCTTCTTCTGATGATGATATATTTATTACTAATAAACCAAATAATAATCTTGCATCTTCCACAATCAGAAAACAATCTAGTTTTAATGAAATTCAAAATATAAGTATCTCAAAAGAGATTGATGATTTTGCCATAACTAATAAAATACCAAACATTGATAATATAAATCAGACTGGAAATTACATTTTAGATAAAAATAATACCAACACTTTTAGTCTATTGTCTGATGATGATGAAGATGTAAATTATTTGTCATTTGATAAAAATATTTCGGATGCCTCTATGGATGTATCTAATAATCAAAATATAAACGAGAAAATATTGACTGTTAGTTTGTCATCTGATGAAGTAAGTCCACAAATGGATCAAAATAATCAAGGTATATTTCAGAATACACCTGATTGCTTACAAAATAGTAAGAATCATGAAACATTTAACGAAAAAGAGATTCATATGCCATCACAGCCCAAAAATGAAATAGTATCAAATGAAAATACAATCCAGAGTAATAAAAATTCTATATTTTCAAGTAGTGATGATGAACAACAATTATTTTTCAGTCCAAAAATACAAAATGAAAATTCTAATAAAGAAACTAAAATGATTTCTCCAACATCAAATCTATCGCTAGAAAATGTATTAAATAATAAGAATCAAGAATCATTTAATGAAAATGATATAAAAACTACAACATTACCTATTTCTTCAGAAAATATAAATCAGGGTGTCAACAATTCTATAGTTTCAAGTAGTGATGATGTAAAACCAATTGCTTTTAATTCAAATATTCAAAATGTGAATACTATTGAGGAAATTAAAGTGGTTCGTCCAACATCAAACTTGTCTCTTAAGGATTCTATTGATGGGCCTTATTTCAGTTCACCAAATTCAAAAAACGAAACTTCAAAAAAAATTCCAGGTAAAGCTAATCTTCATTAACATATTTTTAAATATTATCATTAATACAGTTTATCATAAAAATAAATAAAATGAGTATTTTCAATGAACCTTGCAAAACAGAAAATAAGTGTTGTAAATTTGTAACTGTATAATATTTAGTTGAAATTAGTACAAATAAAGTTCAATAATTTTGTTTAAACTAGGACATTTTGGATGCCTATAAGCCAGCTGATAGTATGTATATATTATGTCATTGAATCAAATGTTATTTTGTTACTATTCAAGGGTGCATATCAATTTTTTTTTTTTTATGGTTGAAATTGAAAACTGACAAAAGGACAGGAGGATAGATAAGATAAGTCTGGACAGATAATAAAGTAGGTACATCAATACTTCAAATTACAATAAATATTGGAATCATAAAACAATTTAATATCAATAAAAATAATTAATATTTAATAATTATCGAATCAGATTGTTTAGAAAATTTGTGAAAAAATATAGAACTTTAGAGGATACTCAATAGTAGTGTTAATTAGTAAAATCAAGTTAGCATGATAGGATTTTTTTCAAGAGGTAGAAGAAGAGAAATTAAAACGTAAATATATTACCTTTATAATACGTATTATTTATAGACAAATATTTTTTTTTAATTTATTTTTCCTAGTAGAATATAAAATAATTTTGCAACTAAAATAATATTGTGTAATTATTAATAACAATTATATTTTACATTTTTTTTTCTTTTCAGGAAAATTGAATAAAAATGCTGGTGCCTTTATAAATATTGCAAGTCTACTTCCTAATTCTAAAAGCCCATTGAAAATATCAAATATTCCTCGATCGGTTTCATTAGATGAAAAGAATGATGATACTTTACCAACTGATGGAACAAAGCTTTTTAGTGCTGAAAAAGTAAATAATATTTTTAAAAATAATAACCCAAACAAAGATGCATTATAATGTAATTTTTATTTCTTTATTTGAGTTTATGTTTAATAATTTTATATTACTGTATACTTTATTATAGGAAAGAGCCAGAATTCAAGTAAAAAGACGTCCACAAAGTCGAAAAGCTAGAATAGCTGCAGCTCGGATGTCATCTATAGATATTGGTTCTGAAACAAACTTTCAAGAGTCATCTCGTTTATTTGTTTCAACATCTAATTTAGTTGACTATCAATCTAGTCCAATACTAAATGACGGCATTACAGATACAGATTCTTCAAATGAAGTTAACAAAAAAGTCCTAGAACCACTGGGCAACAAATCAATTGTGGCTAATGATGATAAAATATATGAAAATAATGAAAAAATGGAAACAAAAACCGAGCTTAAAAAAAAATCTTTTTCGGATTTATTTGATGACGACTCAGATTCACATGAGTCAATTCAACAAGAATTTGATACAAAAAATAGTGGTGATAACAAAAAAATAACAGTAGATGCACAACTATTAGAATCCAATAAATCAGTACAAGAACAACTCCCAGTAATTGAATCAGTGCATGAAAAACTTCTAGTGAATGAAACACTTAAAGAAAAACAACCAGAACTCGAACCAATGAAAGGAATACAGCCAAATATTGAACCAGTTATTGAAAAACTTTCAGAAATTGAACCAATATGTGAAAAACAAGTTAAAGCATTCAATATGAATGAATTACAAGAAAATAAATCTAAATCTCTGATTTCAAATACGTTACTATCTAAGAAATCCAATTCTTTATTTGATGATGATGATGATGATGATATATTCTCTCGAAAATCTGGGAAAGTTAATAAGCCGTCATCAAATATATTTGACAGTGATGATGAATTGGAGTTTAACCAAACATTTTCAAAACATAAATCTGATAAAACCAAGTCAATATTTGGTGATGATAGTGATGATGATCTATTTAATACTCCCAGCAAACCTTCAGGAAAAAATTTAACTTCTCAAAAACCAATTGGTTAGTATAACATATTCTATTAATTCATTATCTACATAATTTTATTTACCCCTATAAAATACCCAGAGCCCGCAAACTCAATTTTTTTTCCACCCCTACAATAAAAGTATTAACACTGTTTTTACAATGCCACCCTTCTACTAAAGTGATGCCTTAGACGTGGGCCTATGCACCTACCACTTGAGCTGGGCTTAGTTATACCTATATTTTTAACAAAATTCTATTGTTTATAATATTTGTCATATTCTTATTTAGATAAATTTAATCAACGCCAAAATCGATCTGGGGATGGATATGTAAAACTTGCTGCTGAAAGTGTTGCTGTTAATCCGTTAGAATCTAAGAAAAACTGAGTATGTTAGTACAATTTTGTATTTTATATCTAAAATTTTTATACTGGAATTCATGTGATATATATGTAAGGGAAAAACATAATTTGATACTTATTTATACAAAAATTTATAATTTATACAAACAAAATCTGATTGGAGCTCTATTTGCTTTTCCCAGTTTCCCACACACTGTTATTGTTATAAATTCAAAAGTTGATAATAATTAATATTTTTGCTGTCCATACTTTTATTATGTTTTAATTAATTTAATTTGATTTGTCATTATATGTTACAACTATTATGAAATGTTATATATTATTATTATTATTATTATATGGGTTGTTAATTGTTATTTTTAAGTTTGTTTTATTATTTACTTGGAACAATAAAACATTTATGTATTAGGATACACCAGATATAGCATAATATCTTAGTCTGTGTGCCATATGATTATGATATCCATAAACTATACGTAATATAATATTTTATGTATCAAATTATAATTTTGTTTTCATTTCACTGTCCGTTGAACACTTAATCGGCAGCAGACTCTTTCTGAGTTGCTACAATCAAGGTGGTTCAATTTCAATCAAATACTTTATAATTCATGGTTGTTTGTTACATCAGAAAAAAATATATTGATTTTGTTTTAAACATCGATAGATGGGATAACATCAATAAATAATGTGTGTTTTAAACAATATTTTTAGTAAATTTTAAATTAAAATAATCTGAATTTATTCTATTCTATGGGATACTTATTTTTAATGATTTTAGATTCTAAGCGGAGTAATGAATGTATGAATTTTACAATGGCGTGTGTTTTTTTTAGGAATTAATTTTCAAAAATGCTTGGAAAAACATAAAAAAAAAATAAAGGAAAAATTTAAAATAGGAATTTTTACACAAAATTGGTTTTCGGCATGATCGATTTTGGTATTTTTTTCCTGTAAATGTCAATAAAATTTTATTTGTTGGGTTTAAAAAGCTTGACAATTTAATACAAGGTCTCTGCTATATTTTTACAATAGCAGTTGCAAAATATTAAAAATACATAGGAACATATTTATAAGCATTTGAATAGCTTATATTTTATAAGAGTTAACATTTTGACAAACTTTATGAAATTGGAAAGTTACAAATTATTTTAGTAATTAAATATTTATGAAATGTTCAACTTTTATAGCTAAGGATCAAAATTTAAAACAAGGTTCCACGTAAATTGGTAAATAAATTATTTAATCACAATAATGTCATCAAATATACTTAGTATATTGTCTTCATAGATATTATCTATGATGGTTTTTTGTATAAAATGATATTATGCCATTGGATTCAAATTTAACACCATCCATTACAGTGACCCACTTGTAACCTACTGTACAGCAGAACGACACCCACTTGCCCACCTTTTTTTATTATTGAAAATCAACAATTTCAACGATTTAAAAATTAAAAACGATGGCTTCCAAAAATTGGGCCAATTGTTGTAGACAAAACTCCATAACTGAAAATAAGCACGACCCCTTCCACCATATGTTTATTGCACCACCGTTCTCAGCGTTAAAAACTATATACCTATTACCTAAGTATGAATAAAAAAATAAGTTTTAAAAAAAGATGTCCCGCAAGGAGGGTTTAATCTATATATTTATAAAAATAATAATAATAATAACACAATGTCATGATGATGACCAGGGACCAGAACCGAAAAGAACCGGTTAACCTTAAAAATTTAGGAACCGGAACCTTTATTTCCAAAAATGTAAAACCGTAACCGTTACCATAACTTTAATTATAAAAAGGTTATTTAGGTTAGGGTTGACTAGTTATTTGGACGAGTCTACTTAAATTAAGTTAAAAATATATATTTCATAAAATCATAATACTTTATAATACCTACTACAAATATGAAATATTACATAATATCTTACAAACTCTTACTAGTTGATGGAATGATGTAGCTTAACCTAACTCAAAGAAATATTTACAATATTATCTTATATTCCTATAGATTTCGTATAGGCTGATATTTATATATCTTTGTAATTATTTTTTTAACTTTTCATAATACCTTCTATTTTCATGAAATAATTACAATTTAAACATGAATAAATAAATTACTTCAGACTATATTTTTAATAAATCTTTAATAATCAGAAATCAAAATTAACCGAAAATAACAGGTATTTTCAAAACCGGTATTAACCGGTTCTAGAACCCTTATATTTTTTTAGAAAACCGAAATAGAACCGGAACCCTTAAACAAATTAATTTAATAACCGGAACCGAAAAACCCTATAGGTTCCAGTCCCTGATGATGACTGATAAGTGATGAGGGATGCTACCTATAACAAGTTATAACTTATCTATAATATATTATAATTTACAAGGCTCTTATTAAGAGATGTTTTTACATGCTTTAAAAGTGTTTTTTTTGTTTTAAACAATAAAACCATCTTTAAAAAACGTTTAAAACGCTGATTTTTTTTTTAAACGTTTTTTTGTTTTCATTAAAAAACCATTTTTTTTTCCAACACTGCCTTATATAGTACAAGTGTACGACACTACGATATATCCGTATTAATACGAGGAATTTTTTTTAAAAAAAGTTAATGGCTATTGGCTGGTGACATAGCAGCACATCAATTTAGATTTTAGTGGTTGCCTATACAAAATATCCTTTAAAATAAAGCACTTGTATTAAGGGATGTACAGGCAACCCCACAAGTGAAATTTATTGTCAGTGTTTCCGAAAAATTTAACGAGTTTCCCGTCTTTGGATCAATGTACAATAAAAGTCGTTACAATACAACACACACATCAATGACTGATGACCCCCAGGGACAGTGACCTCGTCTGTGGTCCTTTGTTGGGCTTGGGATGTGTGCGATTCCAGATAACCTAAGTTAACAATAACGCTATTCGAGTAGTTTCGAACGGACTTGTGATGAAATTATTTTTTTAGGAATACAATAAAAACAATTCATATCGAGCCACTGCCCACTGGAGTCCGGATTTCGACGAACGCGTGTTCTCATTTTCTCAACACCCAAAAAATATACGAATCGGCTTACACAGCAGTTGTACACACAGGTCACAGCCGCCGCGACCGGTTGGCACTTGGCGCGCCGGTTCGAAAAAACCATATGTCCGACGACGCACTGTTCCATGAGCGATGCGCGGTTCCATGGACGATGGACCAATGGCTCTGTTGGTGGCGGTGGACGCACCGCGCACCGTTCCCCGCCATCGAAGACCCACTCCCGAATCCCCGCCAAACGGCCGTACAACGCGGACGTTTGCGCACGCTCATGTCACTACCGTAGACCGTACTGTTGTACTATAATACACGATAATATTGTATGCATACTCGTGGATCTATATTTATATATATATATATATATTATACACAAATATACGTTTAAAATGCGTATGTTGTTTTATTGGCAAAATCTGGTATCGTCGACCCACGAAAAGTACGAAGTTTTGCGCGAGCCACGTCGTACCGTGGTCAAGCAGGGACGTTCTGTAGTTAACCAGTTAACGTCTGATAACCGTAGTCGTTATAATATTATTTTCCCCCGATCGTATGCCCGACCATATTATGCCGCGTCGTCCGCTGTCGCTGTGAGATCGGTCGCGCGCGTCACCAGTCACTACTACTACTACTTCTGTCGTACTTGTCGTAGTAGTGTAGTACTATCATATACATCGGCATCGGCACGCCGTCGCCGCCCGTTTCGCATTCAAGCAGCCGCGCCACACGTCTTCGGCACCGCAGTGCCGACCGACCACACAGCGCACAGGTACGCCGCCGCCGCCGAGTGCAGTGAACTTGATCGATTACGTCAGCGCGCGTCGTCGTTAGCCTACTGCTGCTGCTGCTGCTGCCGCCGCCGCCGCCTCTAGTTCGCCCCTTTTTTATCTCTCTTTTTTTTTCCCACGCACACACACACGCGCGCGCGCTTTCGCGTATTATACATATCTGTATACGTGTGCACGCGTAGTAATAACATTGCAATAGTAATATAATCATAATAAAAAATAATAATAATAATAATAATAATATAAATATAAATAATAGTAATACTATACCTACGCGCGCTCGTTTTTTCGTCGTCGTGTGTTTATTATCAATATAAAGACGATCGCAAATCGAATCGCAAAAGCGTCTCGTGCCGCCCGTCCGTCTTTGTTCGACCGTCCGACGTCGACGCGCATCGCGCAAACGGTCCGCCGAGGTTTTTCGCGTGTGCCGCCGACAACGTCAAGCAGCAGTCTCTCTCTGTCGCTCTTCCGAGCACAACGGACCATTACGTCTCTCGCACCCGGTCCCAAACACATCCGAATCGCCGCCCCGACCGATCGCGAAAACCTTCCGGAAAATCGTCTTCGTCGTCGTCGTCATTCTCTATTAAGCATAATAATTATATATTATAGTCCCGTGCACAGGAAGAGGGCCGCCACTTCCGAACGTCGTATTATTCATCATCGTTCCGTGTTAGAAATTATTCAAAATTCCGGTCCCGACGAAGAACTGCGCCTTTTCCGGCCGAAACGACGACGGCAGGATGAACACGAAGAGAAAAAGTCGCGCCAACACCAACAGCACCGGGACGAGGTGCGTACACGATATTATTATGTGGTAGACCGTAATATTGTTATTGTCACCGTCGAGTTTATAAGGGCTCGATGGGGCTGTAAAACCGTAAAGGTATCTTTTTTTGTAAATTGTTTTCGAAAACGGTCATCGAATTATGTGTGAGACGTGCGATTGTCGTCCAATTCGGGTAGGTAGGTAGGGCCAGTAGGCACGGCGTTGTATTTTCGACGCCGCCGCCCGCTCGTAAGCGTTGAAGAATTACGACAATAGTTTATTATTATTGTACGAAATCATCAAATGACAATTCGTTATGATAATAATAATTTATATAATATAATAAATAAAAGAAAATAGTTTCGGTATTTTATTGATATACTCGTGTTCGGCGATAACGACGATGCGCGGCGAATGTTGTCATTCGTGTTACGATTTTTTTTTCGCTAATCAATGTCAACACAGTCGCCATTTTGTCGGGGATTTTTCTATTATATTATACCCCGCGCACTACCGACTAATAATAATAATATAATATCGTCTGGTCGACGTTCCCGCTAGCCGATCCAATAATAATTTTATAACAATATAATATAACATAGGTACCTATACGTCATTGTTATTATTATTTATTATCAACGCAGGTAACTTTGGATGAAAATCAAGTTCATAGAAATACACATTTTCTGGGAACACCGCCGCCGCACACACGTTTTTCTCGTGTCCCGGAAACTCTAATCGATTTTTCGTAGTATTTCGTTTGGACGTCGTACCGCCGCCCTTGGAATTCCTATTTTGGATTATTGGAATCGCCTCTTCGAAGTACAAAATGCAAATCGCACGGACAAAAGACGTTTCTGTTGCGGCCTTTGCTCGCCTACGAAACGGCGGCATGACGTGTGCGTGCGGCGGACCTTGATATGAGATTATCGTGGTTTATTCCAAACCAGTCGTTTAGGCGAATCTTGTAGAAAAACCCCCATGATGTGTGAGAGAGTGTAATTTTTCCCAAAACGAACATTAGAATTTTGTCGAAATTTCATACCTAATCGATAGATATTTGTGTACCTACTCAAATACAGTCTAATGCCAGATAGGTACTTTGGAGATACTTAGGTACCTCTATATTATAAAAATCGTGAGACTGTGAATATGAAATCAATTTTATTATATCCATCTAATTTGGGTGAATAAAATATGTAGGTATGAGAACCGTAAGAAAATCAATTAAACTAATAAAATTATTATTTAATGAAATTCTTTTAATTTCTCTTATCTGTTTTAATATTATGTTTCGATGCCTCTTTAGTCTTTGTGTTACCAAATACAATTTTACTTATTTACACACTTTAAAGATATAACAAAGGTTATGCTATAAACTTCTTTGTTTAATGTAGGTGTACCTATCAATATATAATTATGTTCCGACTGTTAGTGGCCTATGTGTTTAGTATGGGTAGTATCAATACTTCTGTAGCTACTATGTATTATATTTTAGTATTACTAAAATTTATTATCTAAATTATAGTATAATTAAAGGAAATTAAATTCAGTGAAGATAGACTTATGTATATAAGTATAATTAAATTGCTTATTACAATATTCCTGAAAATTCCTGAAAATAATATTCATACCTAACCTTTCATAGGTTACTGTAGAGTGTAAATACATATTATGTTGCTTATGATTTTTTCAAAAATAAATTAGTAGGTATGTCAGATAAATTTAGGAATTTGGACTGCTTAAAAACATTTTGATTTAACCAAACATACGTATGAGTTTAAAATATATTTAAATTTCACTTAGATTAAGATTTACTTAAAAATAACAGTTCAATGTATTATTTTCTGCTCTTTTAATTATTTTATTAATTGAAGTTTAATGACTTACAAAATGATAATGAGTGTAATTATAAAAAAATATACTTAGCTATACAAAATTTAACTGAGGCAAAACTAGACAAAATGATTTTATTTAAAAGGTACCTATCCCTGTTTATATGACATAAATCAGCCTAAAATGTATAATTGTATGGATCTTACATTTAAAAATACTATTCAATATCTTGTATTTTGTACCTACTTATTACTAAAATGTTGCCAAGTCTCTAACTGGTAAGCAATTTAAATAATAGAATTTGGGTACTAGTAACTACATAGGTATATTTTGAAATTTAATCCACCCATTATTTTTGTGTAAACATTTTTGTGTAACTACTATTTATAACATTTTTAGTTTTTAGAACACAAAAATGTAAAACGGGAAGAAAATAATTAATTTAATGTGTACTTTTAGTTAATATAATTTTGTATAATGTATAACAGTGGAGAATTCTTCTTCTTCTTTTACTTTGAAAAGTAACCCCCTCCCCCCATTTATCCAGATAATAGTTTTTTAACTATTAAGTTACTAATATTAATTTAAAATCTGTAGTATGTGTAAAATGTTTGTCTATCATATTTATTTAATTGATTTATCACTTAAATAATTAAAATAAATAATTAAATAATAATATATGAATATATCTATTGAATAAGTCAAGTTTAAGTAGAATTTTCGGATACATTTTTTTCTCAATTACCTGGGTAATTAGTCTATTTTAAAAATAAATATCTGTTTGTGTTTTTAGAGCTCCTCGGGCCAGAGCCTCATCTTCAGGTGGAAATGGAGTTAATGCCCAAGTATCCGGTGCTGATGGAATATATTTAAATGAAACATTTATGCATCGTGTTACTAGTTTAATTGGACTTGAAGTCGAAGTAAGAATTTTTTAATTATTTTGATTCCCAAATTATATATAATATTTATAAATGTTGTTGTTTCAGATAGTAACTCATTCTAAAGAGATGTATTCGGGTATTTTGCGCACATTCTCTAGCAATTTTGATGTTGTATTAGAACTACCGCACAGGACTGACCCTCCCCCATCAAGTCAAGCTATAGGTTTAAAGATTGTAGCTGATAAAATGATATTTAAATTTGACAGTATAGTTAAAATTGCTGCATATGAAACAGATTTAGATAGTATGACTCGAAGTAAGTTAATATATATCATATAATTTTTATCTGTGGCTGGTGCAAAAAGGGCCAATGTCACATTTAGACGAATTGGAGATTATGTGCCCAATACATTTATATTTAGTTATGTTACTTGTATTAAAACGGGCAACGGCCACTGTCTGATACAGGAAGACCAAATTAATACATGCATAGGCCATTTTGACTTAAGTAGTTAGAAGTACATAAGTTTAATATATTATAGGCCTATTTTGACATTGGGAACATAATATTATCTATAGCTGCGACATTTCAAAATCAATCAATAAAGTTTATTAATTAAAGTTAGTAGTTAGTAGTTACTAATATTTTATATTCAATTGAAAATTATTTTTAGGGTTTAATAAAAATTAGGTTATTTAATTAAAAAAGTGTTTATTTTAGACTTAAGTTTTTGCCAATGTTAGATATTATGATAGGTATCAATGATATTTACTATCTATCAACAAGGCCAATGTGAAAATAAGGAAAATGTTTCATTTAATTAAGAATTGAAAAGAAATTAAGTCATATAAATTCCAAAACTAACACAAAACCCTTAACTATTGGATTTTTCAAAGGAAAATTAAATATCCCAGAATTTTAGATTCTGAGTGAAACGATGAATGTATTGATTTTACAATGATGTGTGTTTATTTATTTTTTTTTTTTGTGTCTGTGTACACGATAAGTAGTCAAAATAATGCTTCGATTTTAGACTTCAGTATCTTGTTCGATTGGAAAGTGAATATCGTTGGTGCAATGGGGAGGTCAAAATTTAAAATTCCCAGTACTTTGCAAAAGCGCCAAGAAAAACAAAAGAAAAATTAAGGAAAAACGGGAATTTTTACGCAAAATCGATTTTTCAGAAAATTGAATTTGGTTTTTGGTGTAACTTTAAAACAAATGACTGTAATTACATGAAATTTTCACTGGTTGTTTATATTTGCATTTTCTATACACCATAACATTTTCAAAATATTTTGATTTATTTTGAACTGTTTAGGGACATTTTCATTTTTCATTTTTTTTTAGTTTTTTTTCTAGAAATATCAATAAAATTTATTTGTTGGTTAAAAAAACTTGAAAATTTAATAGAAGGCTCCTAATATATTGTTTCAAAGGCAGATGAAAAATATTAAAAATCGTTAGTCACAGTTTTTTTTTATAAGCATTTAAAAAGTTCAAAAATTGACAAAATATGGAAAAATCACGAAAATTAGCAAATTATTTTGAGTTAAGAATTCGTAAAAATTCTTTTTCTTTTTAAATCTAAGATTTTAAAATGTATTACAAGATTACTCATTAGTTTGTCTACCATTATCAATAAAAAAATCTCTACCGGACAGTCAAATTAAATTTTTATGAGCGTTTGAAATTAAAATTTTTACAACAATGGATATTCACTCGATTTCTCATGTAGCGATTTCCTTATTTTGTTGTTATTCATAAACGAATAACTATAGATACATGAAAATTTCACTGAATGTTTATATTAGCATTTCCTATACACCATACAATTTTGAAAATATTTTGACTCATTTTGAACTGTTTACGGATATTTTCATTTTTCAATTTTTTTAGTTTTTTTTTCTATGAATATCAATGAAGTTTTATCTGTTGGGCCAAAAAGTGTAAAAATTTAATACAAGGCTCATGATATATTGTTACAATATCAGTTGAAAAATATTAAAAATACATAGGCACAATTTTTTTTTTATGAGCATTTAAACATCGAATTTTGACAGAATTTTTCAAAATCTCGAAAATTATTAATCATCGTAATTAATAAATTATAAAATGTTCAGATTTTATAGCTAAGGATTGAAAATTTAAAACAAGATTCCACGTAAGTAGTTAATTCTCTTACCGAAAAATCTAAAAAATATACAATCACAGTTTATTTTTATAGTCATTTTATGTTCAAATTTGGACGAAATTACATATTAAAAAACCTAGTTATTTTGTTGTTATTATATAATATTATTTGTGGGTACCTACTTGAAACTTCTAAAGTGTACTATTATAATATATCTATGATAGTATCAGGGTTTGTTATTGATGTTGATGTATAACGTGTTATAAGTACCTAATGGATATTGTGATAATGTGATATGATTAATTTGGAATTTATTATAGGTCAATTTTTTTTTAATACCATAGATATGATACGTATATAATTTGTCTTAAACCTAGACTGACATACCGTCTTCGCTCAGAATCGTTTTTCTTATACAATGATATTGTATCATTGAATTCAAATTTAATAGCATCCATTATACAGTGACCCACTTGTAACCTACTGTACAGCAGAGCGACATCCACTTACCCACCTTTTTTTACATTGGCCCTTCTTGCACTAAGCCATTTATATATATGCACAGGATTATTTTATAAGTCAATTTTTATAAATGTTTAATATAATAATAATATATAAATGTATTCATCTATAGATACATTCCAAACTGATACAACTATTAGTAAATATAATGGACAGCCTTCAGGTGAAAAAGTATTGGAAATGTGGGAGCCACCATCTATGAATGGTGATATGGATGACTTTGATTTAAGTTCTGGAAATAATAATGCTGTAAGTTGTAATATTAATTATGTTTATTTATATTTTTTAAAAAATATTAAAAGCCTTTAGTTGTTGTTAATGTAATGCCAAATATGAAGTTAATAATTAGGTTAAGCAGTTGAATTTTAATAAATCCAACATAATAATTTGATTTTGTTGGTATTGGGAATACAAACAATCTTATGAAAATTAAGTTTATTTTACTAATATGCATGTTCTTTCACCATTTTATAATTGATCGTTTATTTCATTTTTAGAATGGTTGGGATGCTGATGACATGTTTAGAAGAAATGAGCAAGAACATGGTGTAACATCATCTTTTGATCAAAATTTAAGTGGTTATACAACAGAAATACGAACAGATTTATCAAATTTCAAGTAATAATTTGTCTAATAGTAAATCACATGTAGTTATTATTTATAGTTCAAGTATTAAGTTAATAATAACTAACAAGAAATTAGAAAAATAATTTTTTAATTTGTTGAATTAAATATTTTTGTACTTTGTTACTATTAAGAAGAAACCATAATGGTTTACTTATTAACAACTTGTGGGGATGTGAATCGTAACTACAGTAGAATCCGCTTAAAGGGGACATTAATGGCAGTCCCGAATGAATGTATTGTATTTAAAATTCTTCGGTTAATCGGGACAGTCGGGAAAATGGGGACAAATAGGTCACCGCCCAATGTGTCCCAATTAAGCGGATTCGACTGAACTTACTTAATATAAGCTACGTACGACAAGAAAAGGATGAGTACAACATCCTTCTCAATATAAGGAACCAAGTATATTTGAATATTTAATTAGGCATCAATATTAGTGACTGAAACTAACCACATTAAATTTATATTGTCAATTAGTTAAAATATTCAACAGTAAAACTCTAAGTATAGATACAATCATAAACAATAAATTAAACTAACATTTTTTAAATATGTTTTAATTTACTATTTATATTTTGTGTCTTATAATAAAAATATATTTTTAAATAACACTAGTAAAATAGTGAAAAGGTGTATATATACAATTATGATACTTGCTGTATTAGAAACAACTATGTGGTTCTTATATTGTCTTATGTTATTGGTGAAAAGTGAAAAAGATCTCACAAGGGTTAGATAGTAATAGACAAGAAGTAGACTATCTTAATAATATTAATAATTTATTTTTTAGAAATGAAGAAGCAAAAGCTGCTCGTTTAGCTCGAGAAATTGAAAGTAATCCAAGTTCTCAAAATAGAGCCAATTTAGAAAATGGTGATGAAGAGGAAAGGTAAATGATAGTTATTAATTATTGATTAGTTATAATTGGGGTCAGAATTTGTATGCTCTAAAAGAGTGTTGGGACTACTAGTGAGTCTCTAAAAGTCACTTTTTTTACTTTTTTGTTAATTATTATTAACATTGCTTATAATATAGTCTGGCGAGAGTGAATATAGTGATTACTTTTCATCTCTACTTTACAATAAGTGTAATTTATTTATGGAAATAGGCTTTTTACAGGGACATAGTTAATAACTTTAGGTCCAAATTTACTTGGTAAGTTCATGATTCATTCGGTTTTCAGATAATTTAACTTTGTTAAATAGAAAATTACTAGTAACTTACACCATTAAATTTAAAAAAAAAAAAATCAATTTTTTCTAATTAAAATAAAAAATGGTCACTTTAACTATTATAAAAGGTTTGGTCACATTTTAAAACATTTCATAAATTGTTTAGGATATTCCTTAACATATATAATATTCTCAAATATGTAAATGTAAGTTTAATGAATTGTATTAATTTGTAACTCATTAATCTGTGCATTCAATTAAGAAATAAAATTAAAAAAAGCGGGTAAGCGGATGTCTTTCTGCTGTACAGTAGGTTACAAGTTTGTTAATGTATAATGGATTGTATTAAACTTGAATTCAATGATATCATTGTATAAGAAAAACGATTCTGAGCGGAAACGGTTTGTCAGTCTGGATTTTTATATTGTTTTTATTTATAATAGCCCGTAAGTTGAATTAATCTTATCGATGGCGTAGCGCACAAGTGTGATAAGTGACATTTTTTTGAAAAATGAGTTAAGTGCATAATCAATTTAATCATACAATTCTGGACATTATGCCCAAACGTTGTAAGTGAATAGTTCATTATTTACTCCGATAGATGTCGTACAGTTCGTTACATTTTTGAATTTGTTATAACATCTCAAACTTAAAAATCGTTCTCCTGAACAATTACGAAAATGTCACTTATCACACTTGTGCACTACGCCATCGTTATAATTTTTTGTTTGTTGCTATGGTGATAAACAAAGTGTAAGAAATTAAAATCCCTTTTTTAGTAATTTGTTGGTAGTTTTTCTCTTGGCTTTAAATAATTATTGAGAAAATCGAAAAAATTCCTCTCTAAAGTACTATCTTGATCCAATTTTATAAAAGATTAGATAGGCTCAGAATCTAAAATCTGGACTAGCTCTAGCTAATAAAAATAAAAATAAATTATTTACTTAACACCTATGGAATGAAATTCCATTTTTATGAAAATCATTACTAGATAGTTTGTAAAGAATAAGCTAGTTGTGTGATTTAATATTTAATATAAGACAATTTTATATTTATTTGTTAAAATAGGACAATGATCTTTCCATAATTATTATTTGTATAATAAAACTTAAACATTTTTATAAAAAAAATATTAATTTTAATTTTTGCAATGATATTTATATTTGTAATACTAAGTTTTTAAAATCGGAAAATGTATTGAATTTTTAAGATTAATATAATCTTTTTGAAATATCAAGCATGCAATATATTTTGTTTATTTTGTTCTGTAAAAATATAATCTGCTATAGTGTCACATTGTAGTTATTAAAATAAATGTTATGCAAGCCTTACGTATAGAATGTAAATAAAATTATTGCAGAAACTTGTGAATAATTTAATATTTTTTTTTTTTTACTAAGGTTTGCTGCTGTTTCAAGACCAGCAAGTGAGATGTCAAATAATCACAATGATAGCAAGTATATGTCTGGACGTCGTAAACCTGGACCACAGCAGCCAGCCAACAGTGCATATGGTTTGTTTAATAGAAACCGTAAACACCCAGAAAAATATTCTAGCAGTGGATCTAATGAGCGATGGGAATGTGTTTCTGGTTCAGGGACAAAAAATAGCAACCAGAATCGAGGACATGCTCATCAGCAAAATGGTAACGGCAACGTTGTGAACAAATCCACTTTGCCTCCTTATCACAACAGTGCTAATCAAACATATGCTGCCAATAGTCGTGAATCACCAGTTTCTGTCAACGGCCAAAGTGATAAGCGAACAACAGCTCCTATTAATAACCGTAGAGAAACTTCTTCTTCTGGTTCAAGACATGGTAATTAATTTTACTCTTAAATGTTCTATTTTATATATAATAATATCATGTCAATGTATTTTTTTCTTTCATTTTTTAGTGTCTGGTCGTAATAATTATTCATCTAACGACAATCAATCCCTACCTTCTTCATCAAGGTCATCTCCCCCAACAGTTCAAGGCCATCACAATCAAGTAGCAAGTGTACCTCTTCCTAGATATCAAACAGCCACTTACACTCAACAGACGAGTACAACAAATTCTCGTCCTAATGTTAGTACATCATATGCTGCAGCAGCTGATAAATCTGTGCCAAAAACACAACAACCTCCTCCACCTATTAGAGGTAATTAATATTATCTACTGTACTATATAAATATTAAAGATAAATACAATAAAAAATAATGTTGTAACTTGTAATATTGTTTTATTTAACATTTTTTTATATTTAACAGTAAGGGATGAAAGTCTTAATTCTGAACTGAAGCGATTTAGTACAGACTTTAATTTATCTTCGCCATCCCCACAAAATAACCCTAGAGTTACTTCACCTGCATCAGTTGTATCTGAAATACCAAAACAGCATGCTGCTCAAATACCCCATTCTGAGCCACCTCCATCTGTACAGGAAGTACCACACGTACCTGAAGAAGTGACTGAATCTCCTGTATCACCTCCACAAACATTATATAAACTTCAAGAAGTGCAGATTGAAAAAAATGTAGAAAATTTAAAAAAAGATCAAACTGAAAAAACTTTAGAAGAAAATATAACTCAGTTGCCAGATAAAACGGTTGTACAGACATCAAAGCTCAATCCTAATGCCAAAGAATTTGTTTTTAACCCAACTACTAAACCTTTTATTCCAGTAAGTTTTATTACAATATTACAATCAATAATATATTAAACATGCATATTATTAACAAGAGATGTATGTACAATTATTTAAAAAATTGTTTATACCTTATAGCGTTCACCTAGTACTCCAAATTCGTCTAGACCAATGACCCCTCAAACGCCAACAACAAATATAGTTGCTACAACTAATCAACATCAACAAATGATTCAAGCACAACATGGACCAGCAATAGCTATTCCAGCTGCTTATCATCATCACCATCATCAACATGCACCTGGTACGGGACAGATGGTTACACATCAAGCACCACCTCATCCCCATCCAGCATTTACCATGTTACCTACTGTATTTGTTACTTCAAATTCTGCATTCAATCATCATCCTCACTCAATGCCCCCACAACCGCCAAATCAAGCAGGACGATTCCGTAAAAGTTAGTATTGATATAGTATTAAAAATATATATTTGAATTTCCTAATAATAATATTAATTACATTAGTTATTAGTAATAACAAGATTATGTTAAGTAATTAATTTTATATGATGTTTGTTATAATTAATTTAGTGACTGTGGGGATGTCTCATAGAAGTGATATAGCTTCACAAATTCAAGTAGCTGCTGCAACTGGACAACCCCTTTTGGCACCAGCGCCACTTCAAGCACAATTTGCTGTACCAGGATATAGTCCTCAACCCATGCCCACACCTCAAGCTTATCAACAAGTTCAGGTAAATAGTTATTTTAAAACTTTTTTCCAAACAATTAATAAATAAATAAATTCAATGGTGTAGCCATGGTGGGACATACCTACCCTTTCTATTAATTTGTCTGTATTGTGCAAAAATATTTATCCATACAAAAAAATCTAAATTCTTAATACTTATTAATTCTAGAATTAAAAAGGACTGAGGAACGGTTTGAGCAGCAGACTATCTTTATTAAATATAAACAAATCGATTGATAATGTACTTCTATTTTAGATGGTTCGTATGGTGCCACAGCAAGGAGGAGGCATGATGCCTACTTTAGTGCCTACTTCAATAGCCTACCATCCAGCTAATGCAGGTCAGTTAAGTCAAATGGAAAGTGGTGTACCCCAAGGTCCACCTTCTTACCATCACCATCATCATCACCAAGCATCACAACATCATATAATGAATCAACAACAGACTGCTCAGTCTCCAGCACCACAGCCCGGGCCACCACAAACGCCTGGACAGTCTCAAACTCCAGTTAATTTCCAACAACCTCCACCTCAACAATCACAACCCCCTCCTTTCCCAGCAGGTACTACAATTATGTGTCCTATTTTGCCGACACCTACTGCATCGCAACAGCCATCTGCACCTAATACACCTGGTTCTGCACCTCCAATGCAACAACCTCCACCACAGCAGCACCAACAATATATTTCCCATCCACACCAGCATCATCAAGCAGCTTCAGCGCAAGCGCCTCATGGGCAATACCATTTATATTCAACCATTCGGGAGTCATGAGATACAGCCAACTCATTCGATCCTAGTCCACATTTAGTAAGAGCAATAAAAAAGTGAGCATTTTTTATCATGATAATATTATTAAATTATATACAAAATATTCTGTTGATCAAAAACTATTTGTATTACTTATAGTTTCTCGGCGTTTATCAAGTCATACAAATCAATTGTCAGTTCAACCGAAAAATCTTGATTGTCAAGAAGCTTCAAGCTCAAAATTTACCATCATATATGGTTACAATGATATAATAACTATGAGCTAGCTTTGGCTAAATGTTGTTCAGTAACTGTTATTTATTTATTATTATTATTTTCTCGTTCTTTACAAATGATTATTATTAATTTTATTATTTTTTCCATTGAGAATCCTTCAGAGGCTACTTCAGTTTATTTGTTATGCCAGTATGAAAAGAAAATTCTAGAACATTTATTAATTCGTATATAAATATATATAATATTGTGACCCGATTAATGTTTTTAGTTTTCATTCATTTTGCATATGACATCTTGTTGGCAATCTAAAATTGAAATTATAAATTCAGCTGTTATAAATACAGTTGTTAACAATATCACTTTATATATATTATATATACATTATTCATTAATATATATATATATATATATGTATACATATATTAAATATATATTTTTGAATATTGTGTCAGTTACATTGTTCTAACTTAACTATACTCCTTGGCTGATGTTTCTTTTATAAGGAGAAAATATCAATCTGGGATATGTGATATTTAGCTGAAATTATAATTTTTACATGAAAAATTACCAGTAGGCAGAGACCAAAATCTTGTTATATTATCTCTGATTACTGGCGATTCATTTTGAAAATAATATGTATTGTGATTTTTTCTTTTTTTTTTTTAGTCTTGTTACAAATTTGTTTTAAATTAATTTGCCGTATGATATATAAATTGCTCGACTTTTCTATTTAGTTTTAACAAATTGTTAGATTGGCCGCAGCTTGATCGCAATCTGAAAAAAAAATATTTTGTTAGTTTTTTTGGGAGTAATTTATTTAGTAGAATTTGTTTTAAATATAATATAAATATACATGCTGCGGCCAACCTTGGACTTTCATAAACAAAATGTATTGAAATCTACAAGAAAAATTGTTAAACGCTGCGAGACCTTGTTAAAGTTTTATATAAAAGTCTTATTTTGTACATTTTGTAATGCCACGTTCAGTAAATAAAATATTAAACTGTCTCCCGAAATTATTGTAATGTTTTTGTTTTTGAAAAGCTATCTAATTGTTCATAAATCATCATGCTAATCCAGTAAAAATTAGAAATTAATTCTTGATTTTGCTATCCATTTTAACTAATTACTCCTTTTTAACATCTTAAATGTATTAATTTGAACAATGTTGAGTTTAAAAGCAATGAATATGTTAAGTTTACATGCATTTTTCAGCGTAGTAGGACTGTTCCTTACTTTTACCTGATAAAGGTAGTGGCAATGCTCAAGATGATAAAAAGTAATTAAATAAATCTAAGTTGTTATACTCCTAACCTCTTAAGGTATTGATACAATGCTTACTATGCGACAGATATTAATTACCCTGTGGTCTGTACTTTTCTGAATGACAAAGAAAAAGCAAATAAAAATATGTCCATTATAGTCATTACTCATTAGGGTTTGAGTATTTAATGATTTTAATCATTAAACCAATATAAAGTATCTACATATTATTTATACATATAATATGTAATACTAGTTTAATTTTAGATTCTGAGTGGAACGATGAATGTATTGATTTTACAATAATGTGTTTTTTTTTTTTTTTATGTCTGTGTACACTATAAGTAGTCGAAATAATGCTTCAATTTTCAACTTCAGTATCTTGTTCAATTGGAAAGTGAATATTGTTGGAGCATTTGAGAGGTCAAAATTTAAAATTCCCTGTAATTGCCAAGAAAAATTAAGGAAAAGCAGGAATTTTTACTCAAAATCAAATGGTGTTTGGTGTAACTTTAAAACAAATGACCGTAGATACATGAAATGTTCACTGGTTGTTTTTATTTGCGTTTTCTATAAACGATTTTCAAAATATTTTGATTTATTTTGAACTGTTTAGTGACATTTTCAGTTTCCAATTTTATTCATTTTTTTTTTTTTTTTTATGAATTAATGAAAATTTTTTTTGTTGAGTAAAAATACTTGAAAACTTAATACAAGGCTCTTACTATATTGTTACATTGACATTTTATTTTTCTAAAAATCCTTAGCACAGTTTTTTTTTTATAAGCATTTAAAGTTCAAATCTTGACAGAATATTATGCAAAAATTACGAAAATTAGCAAATTATTTTGAGTTAAGAATTCATAAAAATTTTTCTTTTTATATCTAAGATTTTAAAGTTCAATGCAAGATACCTTATAAGATTATCTACCTTTATCAAAATCGAATTTTGACAAAATTTATCAAATTTAAAATTGAATAATTATTTTCTTGTTAAAAATTTATAAAATGTTCAACTTTTATATCTAAGGATTGAAAATTTAAAACAAGATTCCACTTAAGTAGTTAGACTGATGTACTGTCTCCGCTGAGAATCGTTTTTTTTACCGTATACAATGATATTATATCATTGAATTCAAATTTAATACCATATTACCATCCATTATACAGGGACCCACTTGTAACCTACTGTACAGCAGAGCACCTTTTTTTTAAAAAAAATTTGAATTAGATTTTAACCAAATGTTATTATACCTCAACAATTAATTGAATATCCACATACAATTAGGATACCTAATTATAGTTTTCAGTAACTATAGTAATTATAATAATTTTTATACATATATAAAAATGAATGTTTGTATGTCACTGAACGTTTTCTAAACGGTTGCATTGATTCTGATGAACTTATTGGAGTAGTTCCCTGGGTGGTTTGGATTCCCAATTGGTACTGCTTTAGGTTCAACCCGGAAAGTTGATCTTTTTTTTATTTAAAATAGAACATGTACAATGAGCAAATAGGATAATTAGGTACGGAAAATATTTGCAATATTATTTAGTATGAGGAGGGACAGTCACAGTGACAGAACCCTTATGAGGTATATTAGTTAAAATATATACATTTTTAAATAATTGTTACATAATAATTGAGATAGTAGTATAATAGTGTTAAAAATAAAATATGAATCGAAGACCTATAAGGTACAGGGGAGTTGATCCAACTGGGATTTTGAGATTTACAAATGTACTATTATGAGTATTTAAAAAGTATGTACATAATTGTATTACATGTTATATAGGTACCTACATAAATATAAAAAAAACGGGAGTTATTGCCCCGGGGCGCCACATACTGAGTCTGCAAAGGGGCTCCGTAGCTAAAGGTTTTACATTTTTTTTTATTGGATTTGTTGAGAAATTATATTAGTGATAAGTGATAACTGATTAACTTTCTTATAATATCTCTTACATTTCCATACATAATATATATATATAATGTAATTGATTATAAAGGTTGACTTTTTTATTAGGAATAAATGGAGTGGTAATGGAAAAATAAAATTGTTCTTTAAATAATTAAGGCGAAAATAAAAGTTATCACTTTTACAGGGCTTGAAACAGTATGAAAAAATTTCGGTTTCGGTTTCAATTTCGTACCTATACCTGAAGTTTCCAATTTGGTTTTCGGTTTCAGTTTTTAAACGGTTTATACAGGTTTCTAAAATCGGTTTCAAGGCCTGAACTATTTACGTTCATTCTTAGTTTATTCATTTTTTTGAATCGCCGGATCGAGCGTTCGAATCACCTGTTGTGTAAAGGAAACTTTCCAAAATGTCAAGATAAAAAGATTTTCAAAAAAATACCGTTTTTAATTATAATACCGGTAGGTATCCTTTTTTTTCTGTTTCGGTTTTGATTTTGTTTTCGGTTTCAGGTTATAATGGTTTATACCGGTTTAAAGCCCTGCATTTTTAACGGAGAGAAAAAGTAAATTGTAAATTAGAGTGGGCTTCAAAGTTTTTTGTGACAATGAGTAAAAGGAAACTGAGAAAAAAAGGGGGCGCCAAAATCGTAAATACGCCTCTGCAAGTATGTCACTTAACTCCTTCTAAATGGCTGGACCAATTGTGAATGCCGAATCTGTCGACCAATATTTCCTCCTCGTCCACGAAGACGTGGCATTGTTTTATGAAAGTAACTTAAATGTGAGTATACTGTATAATACGCTCAATATTTATGTAATTGCGATACTATATAATATCAAAACACAGAGTACAACAAAATTGAATGAATAAACCGATTTCACGGCAACCAATAATTATTATTATAATAGTTTTAAAACCGATGGAAACCATTTACAAACAAAAATTTCCACCGTAAATCTCTAAATCCCCGTTTGAGCACATCCCTTGGTTGGACCTAGGGGGATGATTTGTGAATTTAAACAATCTGGAGCGTCACCCAAACGCATACAAAAAAATTCATTCAAATCGGTCCAACCATTTAGGAGTTCAATCACAACACACGTACAGTAGAATTATACTCTCTTAAAAAGTTTTTTAGACTTTTTAATTTGTCTCTCCATAAGAACTTTAAAAATTTTGTGATCGGTAGTATTCGTAGAAAATGTTAGACTTGAAATTTTACAAATCTAGTTGGTATTATAGTAGATACTGTACCTACTGTAAATTTGATGTACTTAGTTACTGCGTAGGTACTTATATCTTTATGTTAACTCTAAAATCCAGTAATCACATTTTTATTTAATGATTCATAAACTATAATATACTTTTATAAAAATATGCTTATATTTCTGATTTCTATTCACCACCTTAATCAATACCTAATTAAATTAATAAACGAAAATAATAATTTTCAAATTATATATTATAAACATTTTTAAACATTGACAATCTGGTGTCATATGATTTTTTTAAATTTTTTATTTGCTTCTTAAAATGCGTTTGCCTGCGGGTGCCCACGTTCCCTTTCAATTTTTTTTTTTCATAAATTTAACTCAATTG